GGGGTTGATAATCTCGAATAATGCACCCTGCCATTCTGAGGACGGCACTGTTCCGGAGCCCCAGACATGTTCACTGTTGATTGAAAGGGGGCGAATGGAAACAATGGTATTTTCAAGTAGCAGGTGGCGTAGGAACAAAGAGGTTAATCTGGCTTTCTGTAGGTGAGAGCAAGCGCGACACGCATAGCCAAGGAGGGCCTGCTTCTGAAACTAGCGGAGTAAAAGAGGTGGCTGGTGTGCAAAACGAGAGTAGATCGTAGACTCTGGAGAGAATGTGGTCCGTGATACGGGGTTTCGAGTTTCAAGGGAAGTGATTCTCCAAAGAATCTAGCATCTGTACAGGATTGTGTTTCTGTAAACTCCTTATAAACTTCAATACAAATTTACCGAAACTAATATTAGGGGGGATGGGAATATTTTATTGTTGTAGTTGTAAGTAGTCGATCAAATTAGGAAAAGAGTATACTCCTCATTTCACGCATATTGTATGTGGTGGAAAACTCCACAATTCATATTACAAGAAAAATCTACACACACTCCAGAGTATTTTGTTGGTGAAACAAAGGAACCGCGAAATGTTTCGATTGGGGTTCAGAAATTTTCAATTGTAATTCCAAAATCCCCCACAATCAATTAAATGCAGAAATATTAACGGCAAATTTCCGAATCACTGTTTGGAGCTCAACCATAAAATAGCTATCAGCCCGACACAATAAAGCGTTAGTGGATTAACTTCCATAATAATTATTATTATGAGCTGTTTGGCAAGATAAATTGAGCCAATGCTGTTCATTGTCAGTATCGGTATCAGTTCGCATTCCTCATCATAAACATATTGATTATGTCACATGAAAATATTAGAAGTTCATGATGTGACTTAGAACAGCATAATCACGGACAATTCTGATTGTTCTAGTTAATTCCTTCCCTTTGATAACACGAGCGCATGAAACGTGGTAGTCATATAAACTTTAAAAACGGTATTGCTGTGTGAGTAATGTAACAAAATTATAAATGATTACCAACCTCAGTTGCATTTAACCCATATATATCTGTGGCTTGGAACAAGATCAACCAATGTCGATTATAAGTCATTTTCTGGTTTTTACTATTTCGAACTAGGTACTCTTAAATTGAATCGAAATCAATATCCATGGATATACTGACAACGACAACGTAATACTACCTGGGTTGAAAAGTATCGGGCGTAACACATAGATGGCGCCAGTCTTATTGTATTCACCGCTTTTTCAAGGTTTGTTCTGGTTCTAACATCCGAAACTGTTTGGAAATAGCGCAAGACATGATGCGTACAAGCAAGGTTAGTGCAACACTATAATATTCACGCCTTTTTTCGAGACTGCAAAAGTTATGATTTTGTAGCAATTTAGAGTGGGTTGTTCCTCTGTATCTGTATCTGTAGAGTAGGGAGGGTGAGTGTAAGCCCACGCACTTAGGCCACATGTGACCCATTGTACATCCTCCCGAGGAGTTGTCCTCCTAGGTCGTCGTCCATCCTGTCCTTTCCAGGAAGGTGGACAGGTCGCTGGGAGATCCAACCCACGGGGTGGGTTGTTCCTATTGGAGGATAAATGCCATCGGTTTTTAGGCTTAGCAGTTTTAAAAATCGTCGTTGAATTGCTTCTATTCTATCAATGTGATATTGATAAAAGGGGCTCCACACAACTGACGCGTATTCTAACTTTGATCTTATGAAAGCATAGAATAAAGTTTTCAAAGTCGAAGTTTCTTTGAAATCACTACTGTTACGTGCAATTATTCCGTACAAACGACAGGAGGAGGTTAAAACATTATCGATATGCCTATTAAATGATAGTGCAGTGTAAAATGTGACGCCAAGATCAGTAAATGTTTCTGGTCTCACCAGGGAAACGTTTTCTATTGAATAATCAACATAATGTTGAACATTATGTTCATTATGTAATTGTAATTTCCACATGAATGCGCATGAGCAACGAGAACAGTTCTCAACAGTTCAGCCTCGAGAGCAGGAACGATTCGGGACAGTTCAAAACAGTTTAAGATAATTTCGCAGTCAAAACCAGAACAGAGGATTCATCAGTCCGAAACTCAGAGTCCAAAATTATCCTCAATAAACCAGAACGCTCTATATCAACTACGCATGCTCCTGATGTTCCAGAACCTGAATTTCGTAGAACCAGAACAAACCTTCAGTTAGGACTAACCTGCAGAAGAAAGCTGTTGAAATTTCTTGATATTCTACTCATAAGTTTGTAAGTTATAGTGCTAAGGGATCGAAAACAATTTCGTGTTTTGATTTTACACTGTTTCGTGATGGGAAAAAATACCGTTCAAGCGAAGCAATGGCTTTAAAAGTGTTATAAGGAATCTGCTCCATCAGAAATAACAATTAAACGTTGGTTTTCTGACTTCATACGTGGTCGTAGAGACACTGATGATGCAGAACACAGTGGACATCCAAATGAGGCAGTAACACCAGAAAACAAAAAAAATCCACAAATCGTTTTGAATGATAAAAAAGTGAAGTTGTCTGAGTTAGCTGACAATGTATTGCACGAGCATTTGACAATGAGAAAGCTCTGATCAAAGTAGGTGCCACGCTAGCTCACCGTTGATCAAAATCAAGAACGTCTTGATGATCTGAGCAGTGTTTGGCCATGTTCGAACATAATAAACAGGCATTTTTGCGTCGATATGTGACAATGGATGGAACATCGATCCATCACTTCACTCCGGAATCAAAACAATCGGCATCTTAGTGGAGAACAACTGTCCGAAGCGCCCGAAAGCACAACAATCGGCTGGAAAGGTTATGGTCTCGGTATTTCGGAATGTGCGTGGTGTGATACTCATCGACTATCTTGAGAATGAAAATACCATCAACAGTGGATATTATATAGCGTTATTAGAGCGTTTAGAGGCCAAAAGTTGCAAAGAAACAACCACATATAGCAAAGAAAAAAAAAAGATCTCATCAAAACAACGTACCTTGTGACAAGTCAATCAAAACAATGGCAGAACTACATGAATTGAACTTCGAATTGCTCCCACATCCACAGTATTCGCCAAATTTCGCTCTCAGCGACTGCTGGTTGTTCGCAGACCTCAAAAAAAAGATCACCGGTGAGAAGTTTCGCTCGAATGAAGTGGTTGAAACTGAGGCCTACTTTGAGGCAAAAGATAAATCGTTCTACAAAAGTGGCAGTGAAATGTTCGAGCGGCGCTGGAATGATTGTGTGGCTCTTGATGGAGATTACGTTGATGAATAAAGCCAATTTTGAACAAAAAAAAAACGCGTTTTCAATCTTAGGCCGGGAATTTTCAGCCCATGTATTAGGATTGATCAAAGAAATTTCATTCATTCATCTCAATGATAACACTTATATCCATTTCACTTGTTGACCAGTGAAGAAGAGTCAGTCATAAGCATTGATAAATACAATGCAGGTAGAAAACGACCCGAACGCTCATAAAATATTTTGTTTGCAATACAAAAGTATTATAAACCGCCTATACCAGCTGTAGGAGATCATAACGAAATCACAAAATTTTGATTGAGTACTCTACCAGCATTTTTCATTCATAAAGAGCATTCATTACTCTTTACATTACATCACTTCACATTAATGGACTTATATATCGAACCACCTCTTCTATAAAAACCCAATCGCATTGGTGGTTCTAAAAGAAATAAGTTTAACATGAGAAAGCATAGTTGAACATTTTTTGATTCGAATAAATCTGAGAAAATCCAGTTCTGGATCTCTGAAAGGGACAGGAATCGTGAATAGGAATATTCTGGTTTTTTTAGCTTTAGCACACTCTATAACATTGATCGCTAAACAATTGAATAATATTAGCAGTACTACGTTTATAGCGGAAAAGAAAATGCATTGGAATACAAATAGCCCGAGTTTACTTGTGTGTAAGGTCGGGATTTTCGGTAGCCGACCCTGTCCTAGTATTCCGTGTCCTATAACAGCTTGGCAAGAGGCGCAGTGGCGACGCCATACAGCAAGAACGGAATTGGAATCCCGGCGGTCTCGGCGTTGCCAGATATACTATAATTATCGTTTCCTCGACTAATTTTGAGTTAGGAGCAATTCGACAATTCGAATTCAAATTAAAAAAAAAAGGTTTTTTTCTCCTTTTTAAGATTATAAGCTACACTTTGTATTTTTTATATAACTTTGATAATAAATGTTGTCGTAGTGAATTTTGTTTTCATATTTATTTTTCCAACAAGAAGAGAGATATAAAAAACTGAAATTCGATTATTGATGAACGATATTTCACAAAGGTAATATCCGCTTTCGACTAAACATGATGGGCTAAATGTTAACAAGTTGCTCAGCTGCTCAGTTGCTCAACATTTAAATAAGAACTTAGAGCTCAGGTCATGAAAAAGAGCTGAACATTTTTTTCCGTTCATATGGAGTTATTCTCATTATTACAGTAAAATACCAAATAAAGAAGTGATTGTGGTTATGTTAGCATGTGCATAATCCAGACACTATCATCAAGTATAGTCTCAGTTACTAGTTATTGGGTTTGTTTTTTAGCTATTGTTGCATTAACCCGTAATTTTCATTTTCATATTTCATTTTCTTGCAAGTATGAATAATTCAAAATGATAGCCTTGTCCGTGGTTAGTCAAACAAACTGATAATTTCTTTCATCTTACTAGAAGTCATTAATAGTTTTCCAAAAAAGTGTTTCCTAACCTAATTTTCATTTGATTCATATCAAACAAATTCTAAACTTTTGCAGTCCACACGTCATTCACTATACAAGCTTTTTCATGCGTATCATTTGACATGTCTCACCTGAGAAGGTCTGGAAAAATGTATATTCAGAGAATCTTCAAAAAGAAAATACTTCTGCATATGTAAATTCTCTAGTAATAATTTCGGTCGATCAGAACGGTAATTGAAACTGGTCGATCTGGCAACTCCGATCCCAGCCATCTCGTCTTCTCTCCTCTCACCCCTATATCACGTTCTGTGTTGTTCTGTCACGGTTTTCGTTGGGTGGTGTTTGATTGGTGTTAAACATCTTAGTCAGAATAAACAGCTCTGTTATTTCCTGTATGGTTGGAAATAATTTAATTATTATGCTTGTGATACAATCAATAAATCGGAAGTAGTGTTAAACATGCATCGGCAAAATTCAGGCCAAAGTCGCTGGGAAAGTAACGATCCGGTTCCCTGTGTGATTGTTTTATTGTAATGAGGATGGGCCATGCTTTTGTTTATGTATTTGTCGCCGTTTGCGGAATAATAGCCCAAAATACAACTACGGAATACTATACCACCCTCAATTACACTTTGGGTTATGAATTTAAAAAGAATACACAAGTTACTGACACACCTACAACAATAATTTCTGATGCAGTTCCAGGAAAACCGAGAAATTTGACGATACTGGACTTCACTTCAATTAGCATCTATTTACAATGGGCTAATCCCGAGAAAAAGAATGGGGTTATCGAAGGCTACAGAGTTTACTACATGAACAACAATTTTACTGAGGTACAACCAGACAAAATACCCTATGATGAACCCCTCATAAGATACAACTTAACCAGACTGAGTACGTATTCAAAATTTCATTTTACATTTAAAAACAAAAACCTTTTTGTTTTACCAGTTCTTTTATAATGTATAGAAAATAGGACCAGTTCTTTTATAATGTATAGAAAATAGGATACTTTCAAAGAAAGAAACAAATTGCAAAAATCAATGATTCACACAAAAATGTTGGCATTTATTTTAATATTTGACAGAGGGAAATGATTTATACAGTTTGATAAATGTGACTGAATGGATTGTGACGGAACAAATTTATTCCTGGCAGTATCCTATATTAGAAATGTATGAAAGAATTAAGAAAATGGTTCGAATTGTCCGATATGCAGAGAACTTTGGATGAAAACATTCATTAAATGAAATTGTTCTGTTTTTCAACATAAGAAAAAAAAAAATTGGGGAAAGCACATTTTCAGATAAGATTGTTTTTCCATCTATGAGTTGTCAGTAAAAATTCTTTTTCGAAGGCTCAAGCAAGTTTTGAGAAAAATTTAATTTGACTTATGTTTTTTTATCCACTGATAAGGAATCGTTAGCTAAACTTGACTCTCTGGCCTACTTTCAGCGTTACACTTAGTTTAATTGAAAAATTTAGATTTTTTTGGAACTTATGGTAATAACCTTTTTTTTTCACAATCCCATGCTGCAAACCTTTATTCACCCATTTCAGATATTTCACAGAATAAAAAAACTTCTATTTCATCAAAATTAACATTTTTTGGACCCATGCTCTGAATGATATTGTAGCTTTACTATAAAGTTTTTGTTATTATTGGGTGGCATTATCATGAAAGTCAAAATTAGAAAATGAAAATCAAGTTACCTACAGAACAAATAAAGTTCCTTGTAAATGTGGCATTTAGTTTCATAACTGAATATGTGTGTATTGTGTAGTTTGCTTGAAAGAAAACAATTTTGAGGAAATTGGAATATTTTGGAAAAAATGGAAGTAAAAGTGTTTATTACCGAACACCATAGATGAAAATACAATTTTTCAAAAATTTGTTTGAGTCATTAAAATGAATAATTTCTGATGAGTTATATTCCCTAAAGAACTATCAAATATGTTCATTATTTTTTCCTCCTCCCTTTGGGAAGTTTTTATTTTTAATTCATTATTGAAAAAAACGTAGAACGGCAAGAAAAAGGGTTTCAAAAACATTTTTTTCTCCATATCTAAGTTGATAACCTGTTTTTGATTGTGTCTTATTTTTCAGAACCACACACAGAATACACAATATTTGTGAAAGCCTTCACTTTGAAACATGAAGGCTACCCATCAGAGTCTGTTATTGCCACAACAGATATCAGTGGGCCTAGTGCTCCTAACGTATTCAATGTCACATGCTTGGCAAATGAGACAATACATATACAATGGGAACGACCCGCTAATTTTCATTACTCAATAGACTACTACTATCTATACATATATTTGGGAAATCGACTATATCATAACATAACAATTCCGACATCTAAAGAAAATCTTGAGACAACAGTAAGTATCATTCACTCATGATATTCCAGGATTTTGAATATATATTTTCAGTATGTTCTGAAGAATGTCACTCCAAATGCAAATTACAAAGTGCAAATACAAGCTTCTAGCATAAGCAACCGTACACACAGACTGATTATGGGTCCAATGTTGGCGTCTCATGTATACACATCACCAATCTCTGATAAAACCATACCCACTAGTGAATTGAGTGCTGGAATTATTGCAGGGGTTCTTTGTGCAGTTCTGGCTTTATTGGTTGCTGGACTGGCATTTTTAGTTTGGCGGTGAGTACACATGTCATTTTTTTCCATGTTGACAACTTTGTCACATAATTTGCGTGAAATGTAAAAAAATTATTGTTTGTAAAGATACCAAATGAGAAAAGTCACATGAAGCTGATTAAATGTATTCTCTTTGGTAGCTACACTTTTTGATAGTATGTCGGCGGATAATGGTCTTGATTCTAATAACGTGCATTAATGAAAGTAATTTACTGATTGTTGTTGGTCGGAAAATGGATTTGGTTATGAGTTTTCCTGTTTGTGAACTATTTTTTTATATTCAGCAAGAATTCTTTGGATATCTTTCTAGATACATTGCCACCTAGTTCCTATAAAACTTCAGTTTTTTTTTCAAAAAATATTAATTTATTCATCAATTTCTATTTTGTGCCCTTCAAAGTAGTCCCCCTCAGATATAATACACTTGCCCCAGCGTTTTTCCAATCATCGAAGCAGTTATGATATGCACTTTTTCGTATGATGAATGAAACTCTACCAATTGTATTTTGCTTGTAATGTAGATCATCTGATTGATGAAATGAAAAACACAATTGTTGTAAAAATAGTAATTGGACTTACAATGAATTGATCAGGCACTAAATGCAACATAACTTATAAAAATATTGAATGGTGAATGAAAATGACGAATTAAGTGTTTGTCAGTTTGTAAAAATTAAGTCAATGTGTAATGAAGTCAGCTTAACTGTTTCCCTGTTGAATGTACTAACAATTCGAAGCTGAGAGGTGAACTTGAGAGTAATGATTCTTATGTCGATATTAAGAAAGAAACCCTATTCCCTCATTTGTCTAGTTTCTTTTCTATTCCATTTCAAAGAATTTAGTCCATACATTTTAATGCCAAAAATAAAAGTGAGCAACAATAACAACAAATTCATTGAATATTCATTTCCAATTGTATTGTGTCACCTTGTACCAGTGTCTTGTAAATGAACCAATTAACAAGGTATTGCTTTGAGCTCTGCCTTTGTCCATTTAAATGTAATCTTTATTTAATAAGGTGTAGGTGTTGACCTTCAATTGCATTTGACAGCCAATCATGATGTACAGAGTTTTACTGGAAAGATTCAGGCAGGTGTTTTCAAATAATCTTTCATCAATTACAAGACTTTATTCATCTCAGATTTGGTATATATTTATCAATATAAACTCAAATACGTAAGAAATCATTTTTATTTCCTTGGTTGTGTTTTCATCCAAGGAATAGTAATGATTTGAAATTCTAATGGTTGACTTGCTGGTTGAATCTATTAGTGTGATATTAATTATTCATAATGATTAACGCTTGATGTTTCACGTATTGGTAAATGTTTATTATAATATTTATGAATTCATTTCACCAGGACTGTAAAATTGATTCGAATAAAGATTTCTTGTTCAAGAAATTATTCATCCTTCTCAACATAATTACTAACCCTATACATTAATGATTTAACTCCTGTGAACTAAGGCATGTTACTTTATTCAACAATGTTTAAAGTGCTTAATCAACCAATGGTTATCAATTATAATTCAAATAGACCAGTAAGTCAATTCACTGCTAAATGTGCATTAGATATTGCTGAATAGACGTAACTTGCCTCTTCAATTCAAGTATCTCAAAACTTAGAGATATTTCCCTTGCACAGGAAAAAAATATCACAATTTTACTGACATCAGATAATAGAGATTGATATACATTCGTAAGTAAAAACACCTTTTTCAGGATTTTCAGAACCTAATATACAATCGTGAAACAAAAACAAAATATATTTATATCAATCAGCTGGTTTTAAGGGTTTTGGCAAGGATTGATAAAAATCTGTATAGTAGCACAATTATATCAAATATTACGAAGCATGACTACAAATAAAGATAAGATGTGTACACTTCCTGAATATGAAGATATTTCTGTTTTTCTTGATGAATGTTTCGAATTCAAGTATACTATAGAAACAGTTATTTGATAGTATCTGTTTTAATTGATTTTTGAAATGGATGATCATCATACAACAAACATTCAGTTTACATTTTTTCCTTTTGCTTTGAGAATGTTTTCACAGTGTAAATCAATAGGAGTATTCTCACACCTTTTTTTTCTGTTGGCCTTTCTGGGGGAGCACGTCTGCCTATCTAGCGGTTTGGATAATTGCTATGTAATCATTCCCGAACCAGCCTATCATAATGTCATGTAAAAACACAGAAAATGTCGTGCAAATGTCAAAACCAGGCTAGATTTCTCTAACAATCGATTTTTTTATTCGATATTATAATGATATATTTGCTTTGTTGCCTTTAAATGTCTTCAGAATCATGAAAGGCTCATTTTTTGTTGAAAATAAAATCTTAAATTACACCCAAAAAGTAAATATACAATGGAAAATTTTGTATTATTTTTATTTAGATGGGGAAGTCTTTGGGATATTTTCAAGAGCTGCCACTGATAGTTTTCAAATTTCTGTTCCAGAAAATGTTTTCGTGCCCCATATTACTACCTAGACAACCCGCAATGTTCCGCTGCGGCTCTAGATTGGAATACAACACCTGAACCAGATGCTGATCATAATGGGCCTATTCCTGTAGCTCTTTTTGCGAGACATGTGCAGGAACTACATGCAGATGGAGATATAGGTTTTAGCAAAGAATACGAAGCTATCCAGAATGATGCCGTTAATGAAATTAGTAGTTCTGAACATTCCCAACATCCTGAAAACAAGCCTAAGAACAGATATCTGAATATTATTGCCTGTGAGTGTCATCAATTATTTATTTCATTTTATAATTTATTAAGTGTTGACAAAGTATTCCTGAATGGTATTGTTAGTTACCTATTTCTTGAATGAAGAAATAAAACTCTTTTTGATTTTTTTTGGGCAAAGCATTAAACAGCCCCAGACCTAGATACTTGCTATGCACAATGTTAATTCTGTTGATGTTCACCAATGCGAATGAATTGATTCGTATTTTTTTAATGTACGATCACATTTCATGGAGATGTATATATTTATTCACTAGAACAAATGACAGAGTTAATTATATAATACATAATAATTTAAGCAGGTAAGTAAATGGTTTTGATGATATTTTTGTACTTTTGTACATAATTTACATAGTATTATATCATAATGAAATATAAATGAATAAATATGAGTTATAATCCACAAAAATAATGTTTGTCGTGAAACAATGAAAGAAAATAATGATAGTAAATAATAAAGGATAAATGTGTATATGTGTTGACGAAAGATCAATTACTACATACATACATATACACACAAACACATATATAAATGAAGCTATTTGAGATATATAGTATCGATACTTTTTCATTGAAGAAAACTTAGTCTACAATGAAAACAAAGTCGAAGTGAATTTGAAAAACTCGTGAATTAAACTCAACTTTATTTTGTTCAAACTTGCATTTGCTCTAATAACCCAAATTGAGGCACATTCCTTATTGAGTATGGATAATAACATGACAGTTTTCCCAAAGAACCAGTTGTCTGAAGTTTTGGATAATCTGGCTCTAAATGTCAGACGAAATTTGTGGTATCCGTTTGACAGGGCACCAAATAGTAAAAGTGAAGAAACGCTGTCTCGGTAACATGTTTAGGGGCAAAGTGATAGGATGAGATTGGGAAGATTATTGGCCATCAAGATCACCGGACTTACCTCCAGTAGATTTTTTTTATTCGGTTATCTGGAACGAAAAGTTCAATAAGTGTAAACCATTTACAGGCAGTGTTATGCTTATATAAATCTCCTATTTGCTAAAACAAAGTCAGTAAATGAAAGGACTATAATTAGTATAGATCATAATAAATGTTGAGATTTTTTTTTGTGAATTTGGTTATACTAGACAGTAGAGAGTTCAAATTTGGAGAGAAGGTATAAAATTGGAAACTGAGCACCTTTTTCTGAAATTTTTTTGAAATCTCCAAAACAAATGTCAAATTTGACAGCTTCAGAGCAGCATATGACAAAAAAGGCAGAGGCTGCCAGTGCCCCGCCTGACATGCACCGACTCCAGACGTGATGTTGAAGTGTTAAAAGTGGTCCTTTTATTTTCTAGATGACCATTCACGAGTCCACTTGCTTACAATGCGCGGCCAAAAAATATCGACTTACATTAACGCCAATTACATTGATGGGTTTCAAATGAACAGAGCTTACATTGGTACTCAAGGTCCTTTGCCCTCCACATTTGATTGCTTTTGGAGGATGGTTTGGGAACAAAGAGTTACAATCATTGTGATGATTACCAACTTGGTTGAAAGAGGGCGGGTAAGTTCAAAATTTTGTTTAACTTGTAGCAAGTTTAAATCAAGGGTTTTTATGGTGAACTTGAATTTCCTCCCCAAAATATCTACTGCAACTATTTAAGAACAAATTGTTTCTTAGTTGATGTTAAAATTCTCCAGAATTTAGGTATCTAGAATCTTAACTCCTTTTTCCAGAGGAAATGTGATATGTATTGGCCAAAGGAAGGAACTGAAACATATGGTGTGATCCAAGTGAAGCTTGTGAAAGAAGATATAATGGCAACCTATATTGTCAGGACACTCTCGATACGTCATCTCAGAGTTAATGTAAGTTTTTGACTGTCCTTCAGTTACCTTTTACTAATTTCTGTTTTGTTACAGATAAAGAATAGAAAGAAGGCCTCGCTAGCAGAAAAAACAGTTTATCAGTATCACTATACCAACTGGCCAGATCATGGAACACCTGATCATCCCCTACCTGTCATTCACTTTGTCAAAAAATCCTCTGCTGCCAATCCTGCGGATGCTGGTCCTATTGTTGTGCATTGCAGGTAAGAGCTGAAATTCATTTTGGGTCCTTTTCGTCAAACTCATTTGATCACTGCACTGGAATCAATGCAGATGTAGTCAAGGCCAGATAATTGCTACTGTCGATATTTACTGCACTATGTGCAGTAAATATCGACATGTGTGTTAATTCATTTTCTGTAAATCCTCATAACAACAGATTTGATTTCATAAAAGTACAGTCGCAAATGGTTATTATGACAACGAATGGTCTATGAGTCATTGTTATTAAATTACTAGAAATTCAAGTACAATATTTGTGGTACTAGTGTGGTGCATTTTTGGTCCTTATATTAGGGTTGTATACTCTCTGTCAAAATCAACTGAATTATCTGGCTGTGACTTTCGGAAATTATTATTGGATTTATCAGAACATAGTGAAAGCAGTTTGTGTACAAAACCTTCCATGTTCATGCTTTTTTTAACAATAGACAATGTAATTGCAGCTCTTCCGAGGAAGATAATCTTCATTGGACTGGGCAGTATGTAAAATTTCACCTATTCTTGCACACTTTTCACTTCATGATTTGTGATTTTAGCAAATATTTTTCGAATTTGACATGAATAATTTATAAACATAATGAATTGGTACACCTCTCCTGTTACTCTCAAAGAATGTTTCAAAACTCTTGATAATAGTTTAAACAAAAACTTCAGATCAAATTTCAAATGCTAAATCAACTGGCTCTAAAATTTCAAAGGTATGTTTTGTTCTTCAGAACAATTCTTGAGGATGCTGAATTGAAAAATAAAAAATTGAACTGTGGCATAAGGTTGTAATGAGAATTACTTTTCCGATTCATTCTGCTACTGCTACAAATTTAATTGAATATTCAAAAAGGCACATATCTTATGGATATTTGATTTTGTTTTTCAGTTCTTCTCCGAGTACTTTTTGAGCAATTTGGAATTATGTTTAAAATCTGAGAAAAGTAATGATTTTTTGTATGTCTTTATTCATAACGAATAAAAGTACATACTTCAACAATACACTTTTTGAAAAATGTTTGCTAAACTGTTGAAAGAACTAATGTTTGTTTTGTTTTTAGTGCCGGAGTGGGCAGGACTGGAACATATATTGTGCTGGACGCAATGCTTAGGCAAATTCGTGCTAGGGGTGAAGTAAACATATTCGGTTTCTTAAAGCATATTCGGGCCCAGAGAAATTTCCTGGTCCAAACGGAGGAACAGTACATATTTATTCATGACGCTTTGGTAGAGGCTATTGAATGTGGAGAAACAAATATTTGTCGGGAAAAATTCCCTAGATACGTTTCGGTTTTACAAAATCTTAACCTCGAAGACAAGAATGAGCTATGGAAACCATTAGATGTTCAGTTTAGAGTAAGTTATTCAACCATTTCACTTCCTGCTTCACCTGTAGACCAAAATTCATCACATCAAATGGTTTTCATAACCCTTCCTTTTTCTCACAATTGGCATACCAGGCATACTACGTTTTAAAAATTTGAAAGGGTTTTGAAAGCACAGTGAAGAAAGTGGTCAACGGTTGTGCTTGCTTTCATTTATTTTGTTTTTTTTTCTTTTGCCAAATTTGATTATTTTGTTTGATATTGAAGTCAGAATGATGTTGCACAAATTGTAGGACCTTTGTGTTCGCTTCATTTCACAACCTAACAAGTTTACTTCACACACAACCTATATAACCTAGAGGGTTTTTTGAATAAAAAAAATTAACAATCATCATTACAAATAATCGTCCGGATATCAGATTATTTTGCACATTTTTCTCTTGGGACCAAAACATTCCTCTTCTATATAGATTTGCTTTTTGTCATATACTTAATGGTTGGTGAATTTGTCTAAATAATAGTTCAGTCATTTTTTGAGAAAGAAGCAGATCAATATTACATAAGCATCAATCACTTCTGTTTATTATTGCAATTGTATTGCACAATGCTTTATTAATTCCTTTTAGTCCTTTCATATGAGGTGCTGTTTGATTCCAAAATGTCTTGAAATATTATTTTTATGAACCCAAAATTGTTTGAAAAATGTCATATTAAGTTATTCCTTGGTTTTAGATGAACAGTTCTGTGAAATTATTCATTTAAGTCGTTCATTATTATCGAAGTAACAACAATTGAAGATTATTCTCACATTGAAAATCATTGACCACAAATCTTTAGAAGTTTCTCGTAGTTCTCATTGATATGGGTATAAATTCAAGATAGTGCACCCAAGAGCACCTCATTATATCATATTTTCACTGTGCTTCAATATGTTTACCCTATTTTGCAAGCGTTATAAAAATTAGTTGTACCAGCTAATGTTCTTCCCTCCTTCGAAGTGAAATGAAATTCATTGCTTCTCCAATAGCAACCCACCCTTCATCAGCACAACCACCTTACTAGCATTTTCAGATCTCAAGGTTGATATAATAGACATTTTTCATGTGTATAATTTGTTTCGATGAAGATTTAAATACGAGTGCAATAATAATGATTACTTCCCTTAATGTATATTTTCAGGAGATATTATTTTTGGGAAAGAAAAGGTTTTGGCTTTCTGCTTCTCTACAAATCCTTTCTTTCACAGATTTTATTGTTTCATTTATTGACAGCTATTTTTAACCAAACAAAATTTTCAAAGGAGAACTAGAAACTGAAACAAAATAAGAAAAATTCAATTATAGTTCTACAACACTACAAATACAGTTTGTGAAACTTATTAGGGTTTAAAATTGAACCAATAGTCAATATTATCGATAATCAACATGGCTTTCTTTTCTTACAGTTAGTCACTAGTTTTGTGTGTAGAGATTTTAACTTAGTTTCGGCGAACAAACCAATAAACCTACCAAAGAATAGATGTGCTGTTATTCTGCCAGTAGAAAGTGCTCGAGTACACTTGACCCCTAAACCGGGTGAGGATGGATCAGATTACATTAATGCGAGCTGGCTCCAGGGATTCCACAATCTCCGAGAGTTCATTATAACTCAACATCCATTTAAACACACCGTTCAAGACTTCTGGCAAATGGTTTGGGATCATAGCGCACAGCTAATAGTTATGATAAGCTTTATAGATAACTCTGAATACGAAATATTTTGGCCAGCAGGTGAAGAAGTCATCGAAACTGATACATATACTTGCAAACAAACTAATGAAAATGGTAATTCTGCATATTATACCAGAGAGTTTTTAATGAGATCTGTACAAGATGATTATGAGATTCCCGTCAAGATGGTCCACTGTTTCAACTGGCCACACCAAGTTGGATCTCTGGCTGAAATGTATCATTTGCCTAATTTTATACTTGATATGCAGAAGATACAGAATGGACCAATAATTGTTGTTGACCGGTAAGTAGAAATTTATCCATAGTGGAGTAGAACTTTTTTCTTTTCTGCAATATTTCAAAAACTGTGTAGAAATGAGAAATGAAATTACAATATTCTTTATTGGTAGAATATTATTGATTCTTTATATTGAAAATAAACGTGTTAATACATTGATAAGATTTTACCCCCTCCTTTTCTCGTGTATGAATCGAAAAATATCGATTCTATCNATTTTAGAAAGACACAATCCTCTTGTTGTCCTAACGAGTATCTAGTGGACTTCAAAGACTCCAGGAAATCGGTTTGAGGGAAAGATGATACTTTGTTTATCATAATTCTTCTGTAGATTTGATGAAAGTTGTTGCAACAAAAGAAAACACCTTCTCTTTTCGGGTATAAATCAATCCTTGAAAAAAATTGACGAAGACTAAAGTTATAGGAGAATTCTGAAAGAAAATTTGCCAGTAAAAATGTTTGCGTTGTCAAATCCTAATTCGTGTGGGCTATTAGTTATAAGAAGTAACCAGGTTTTAGAATTTCTTTGAGAAGAATACCACTACTTTTAGATATATTCCTGATAACTCACATCATTGTCCACAACAGTAAATGGCAGATCTAAATTTTCGTGTCCATAGACTTGTCACGTTCCCCTTGAGTACAGAAAGGTATATATTGAGAAAAATGTCATCAAGGGCATAAATGAAAGCAATGAGTATTATTTGAATCCGGTAGATAAGTTAATTAGGAAATATAAATTGAGGGGGAATCTTCTGTAGATTTTCGACTTTTCAAATATACATTAATTTAAAGTTCATTATCCTTCCGTATGAACCAAGATACACTAACACTAAAAAGTTGAACGTGGAAGTCTTCTAAACTTCTTGCTTACTTCAACAAATATTAGGTAACCCTAAATTCATAATCTTTCTTTATTTCAGGAATAGGTTTCCCTAATATACAATAAAAAAAAAATAGGAAAAGATAGAACAGAAAAAGTAACTAATATATGCTATTCAGTAATTTTAAAACTATTA